TGCTGCGCTGCCTTTGAAGAGGTGCCTCCCTGGGTGTTAGTCGCTTTCCGAGGATTTTATGCGGGAGCATGTGGTGGCGAACGCGGTTTTCGAGCGCAGGTTCCAGACGCTAGCTTAAAAACAGCTCCTTGATTCAGTTTTAGCCCCCCAGATCTGTTTGTTTGTTTATTTGTTTGTTTTGTTTTTTTAATGGGACCAAATACTGTAGATTACACTGTATCTTTGTGCTTTCTGTGTGTTTAATAAGTGCAGGTGGTAGTAATATTTTGCAATCACAGAAATATCTTAAGAGGATCTCCTCTACAGCTGTGAGCATGTTGCCTTGGAGATGGTCCTGTCAGTTCACTTTTTATTTTTTTTCCCAAGATTTTTATAAAGGCAGTCATATTTACCATATGGATCACTGCTGACTGAATCATGTTGCGTATGTACAAATTAGTAGGTTTGTGCACATTGTTACTTGTCATTATAATACTACAAATATGTACTCAATTTACAAAGTGTTTTTAGTTCTGAATACTGACAGGGAGTTAAATGAGAAACTCTTAAAATATGTATAGATTAGAAACAGTTTGTATGTGTTTTTTTCTCTTCTTACCCCAGCTGCTCATTCTGTGTGTCCTTCTTAACTCAATAAGTGTGTTTTTTTTTTTTAAGTGCCCAAAGAAGCTTCTTTCACGAACTTGTGTTTTTTGTGGTTTCTGCCCCTCTCCTTTTTCTATTTGAAGTATGGCTGCCTGTTGTTAGTGTTTTAAAAAAAAACTGTATTTTTTATTTCTTCTCTCTAAGCATTTTTGACTGTCTAGATGTATATTGCATTAAAACATTAAGAGAAATGTTAGTTTAAGCTAAGGTTATCCTTCTCCAGGTTAGAATGTAAACTGTTCTACTTTTTTCTGGTCTATCTTTCTGGATAATGACTGTTTTGCTAGTGAAGATCTATCTGGTCTGACTCTTCTTCTCCCAGCTTTTGCTGTACCATATGTTACTTTGTAGTATATACTGTTATCAGCTTGTCTCACTAGCTGTACTGCACAGGCGTACCTTGGGAATGACTCTGGGTGAGGAGATGAGTCAGGTGTGATTTGAGAAAGAAGAGGAAGAGCTTGGATTTTTGCCCTATAAAGGAAGGGAGGCCTAGTGCTGCTCTTCACATCTGATAGAGAAGATGCCACTATTGTGCAGACACAGAAATGCTGCTGTTCGGGGCACTTCCCCTGCACACCAACTGCTATCATTGGAAACTTCTGGGGTGTTAGTGCCTACCAGATTTCTTGTTTTCATCCTGTATTTCTCTGTGCATCTGTAGATTACTGGGCAGGAGCCTCTCTTGGCTATTATACTCTCTTATTTGTGGGCAAAGAGGAAGCACACCTTATAAGTAAAGCCAAACGTTTATTGTTAGGATAATTGAAATCTTAAGGATGTAATCGTTATTAGTCCGAATGTAGTTGATACAGATCAAGAAAGAGTAACAATGCAATTTAAATTGCATTATACACACTTTTTAGTTCTGTTCCTTTTCCTGGTGTTATACTCCTCCTTCCACTGCTCTCTGGGTTTGAAGGTTGATGGTTTCGTTCTGGTGGAGATGGCATGTTATGGCAAGTTGTCAGTGTCTGGAGTCCTTCATTGAGAGGAATATGATTGTTTGTGTTGATGAATTCTTCCTCCCTCTCGGCTCCACTTAGGATCACTTTTATATGTTTGCTTATGTACTTTTACACCTTTGTTCTTTGGTCTGCAGCTCTGCATTACATCCATATTTACTATACATGGTGCCTTTTACATGTTAAATACTATTTCTTTGTTCCGTTTGTTACCCCTAAAAGCAGTTTTGTCCAGCTCCAGGTCTGCATTTCTTTAACTGACCGTTGGTGAGTTGTTTATAGCTGTAGGGTCACCAGTGCCAGCCTGCGCCCCAGCTCTTATCGTGGCATGCCTGTACTCCTCTGCTGCATCCTGTGTCTCCACTTCTCAAGGCCTCTGCTATCATACCAGGCCTGTATTTCTTTACGCTACATCATTCTATCAGAATTGTAAATATCTTATTCTACATAGAATAATTGCTTGTTACTGCTTTCTATATGAAACTAAGGTTGTACCATACCAGGATAAACAACAATAAAACAAATGAAGCATATACACCTGGTCAGTTACAGAAATTGCTGTTACAGCTAAATCAGGCAAAACAAAGTTGCAGGCAGGTCAAGGAGAGTTCAGATAAAGCAAACCTGACAAGCTTAGGTATTGAGGCCTTGTAAACTCAGTATGAAGCTTATGTCCTGTTACTGGTAATGGCAATACCATATTACAGGGCTACATGGTTATGTGGTAGTGGGAGGGATAATGTGGAATAAGAATTCACAGGTGTGTATTTGAGAAGGACGGGAAAGTTAGACTTGGCGTGTTTTACAAGAAGGAGTTTGGGAATGAGGAAGGACCTAGAAGCCCAGTGATATTTTGGAATATCTCGCTATCTGCAAAGGTGCCCTCCTCATTTTATGATGCAAGACTGGTCTACTAGTTCACCTTTTTTGTCTTTATTTTTTGTCTGCCTCTTGCCTGTCCTCCACCCCCAGCTCCCCCTGCCTTTGAATGTTAGGCTCCCTCTAAGGAGAGGATGTATCACACAGTTGAACCTGTAGCTTTGAGTTGGCCTTCCACATTCCCCATCGGTCCCTATTCTGTTCCTAGCAGAGTGAGAAAGGAATGACGTTGTGGAATTAAATGCTTCCAATCATGCTTTGTCTCCTACAATTTCAATTTTTTTTTTTACTGTGCTGAGTTAATAATTTCCTCTTTCCTCCCTTTTCCCCAGCAGCTTTGTTTTAGCTGCAATCCCTTATATTCCTTTTGGCTGCTTCTCCCAAAACATGCAAAGCTCAAGGGCATAATTTACAGTACAGAAGCAGCATGTAGGAAGATGCAGGTGGTATGTTGCCCATGTTGTGAATATGGGTTTGAAAACTGAGGTGAAAGGAAGGAGGTCTTTCTGCTTTTCTCCTGGTGCATAGAGACAAGTCACAGAAGGTACAAGTCATCTTTACTCTGCTTCTCCCCCGGCCCACCCCTTTGCTTTGACTTCTGTTTTCTAGTTATTTCTGCTGAATGAAGTAGGGGTCGTTATGCTAAATATTGATAAATGTAAATACATAGGGAGAAGACCCTGAGGGAGATGACTGCTATAGTGATCAGGGAAAGAATGGGAATGTAGGACTGTTGCCTGTTATCAATATATATTACTAGATGAACAAATATACTTATCAACCTGTTTCTAATATACCAGTGCCCCTGCTGTTATGCTCCTATGAGACTTTATTGTTGACTCCTGTCACTTCTTGGTTGTGCATGCGTTCATAAAGAACGCATTTATCCAGAATGTCAGAATTACGGTCACAGTAGGAAAAACTGTGGGGTGCATTACAGAGGCCCTTTCAAAGGTGAAGGGTGTCCTGGATGGTAAGAGGCTGCTCTTACACCATATGGAAGTTGCCTTAATTGACAACTTGGAATTTTTATGGTTGTGTTGATTGTTCATTTTCAAATGGAACTTCATAGCAAACGTTTTCAATAAAATAGAAGACATCTGAATATCCAGGCTTTCCTAGAGGAAGAGTGGGTGTTCTGATGTGTAATCTAGTTCCTGCTGGGAGTGGTGCACTAATGCTTTGGTTCTTGGAGAGCTGTAACATCAGAAGGTACGCCAAGGTTCTCCCATGCTGTTTTTGTGGAAGTTTGATACAGTGTTTTTTAAATGTGTGGGAAGAAGGACTATTGTAAACTACTGGACTGTGCTTTGAATTCAAGCCTCAGACTGTTGCTGTATGCTTACAAGTAGATGTACTGTATGCT